TAAGCATAGACTTTTTGTAACAAAGTGCATAAATTAAATAACCACCACGATGGAAGAACGCTTATGGAAATAGAACAATATGTTTGGTCTCCTTTCCCCTTCAAATTTAAATGCAAGTAAATTTTTGTTTTCCACTCCACTATTCGAGAATGATTTAAAATGTCATTGGAAAAAAATATGGAGCTACAAACTTACCGATAATGCCCATCCTATTAGTCCAGTTGGTTTTCGCAAATGTTTGGTCAATGTACTAGCAGGCAAATAATTCTAATTCAAAATTAAAATAATAATTCATTGTCAGTACTTTTCATATGCACTCTTATTTAGACACAAATTGTTTTTGAACACAATGAGAAATTGCATATCGCCGAGACCCCCAGAACCATGAGTACTTCCTTAATTTCTTAAATCCCAAATGATATAACCTAAATTTAATTACAACATGGTTATTCTGAATCTACATGTAGTCATCTGATGGGCTGTTGCAACGTCTTATATCTGGCACTAAAAAACCTGTGATCCTGCACCGAAACTGAATAAGTTGGCTTCAATATCTAATTGAATTGAGATCTCATGACATAGTGACTGCAGGTGTATCAACTAAGCAAGTACAACTGGTACAAGTACTAATACATATTATTATTACCAGAAATGTTAATACATTGTGCATTTTGCCAGAAAACTTCCCATTCATTGCATTGTATCAAACATTTGATGTCATCAAAACGTTCATTGTTGCCACTCGCTGGTAAATGCAAAAAATAACAATTAAAAACAATTTTTACTTTTTTTCACTTCATTTATGTGTGGAAATAGTGCATGGTCGTTAATTATTACTGCTAGTTCGTTGAAATACGCTAGAATTGATGTTATTTTGTAATGTGCTTCTCCCATCTATGCTTATGTTCAATGGCAAGCATTTTAGCACAGGAATTTGAATACAAAATCTAAAACATGCACTACATAGAGAGTAAATTCTGACCCTTCAAAATGTATTAGAATGTCACTTCACACAAATAAAACTCCAAATTCACAAGTAAATACATGTAATTATATAATAGAATATAGTGAAAATATACCGCCCATCCACCCCACCGACCCCGTGCTGTCAGCTCTGCAGTAGTTTTATAGATGTATCAGTACTATATCTACCGTAAATACCGGTACACACTAATGGTGTTCTGAAAACAAGTAAGTTCTGGAGAACACTAAAACTACATATATTATTATTATTATTATATATCACTACAGAAATACCCCTAGGATAATCTCTTACATGATATATAAATGAAACCTCTAAGCAAAACTCAAAGTTAATCATTCTGAAAATTTTTTTTTTAACTTTTCAGGTCATTTTGTTTACCCCGGCTATTTGCGCACGCGTGCGACATGTGCGCATGCGTCCAGCCTGTCAACTTGTGAAAGTTGTCACAGAAAACTGCTAATGGCGATTTTTGGCGAAATGGTTATTTTTTACCGAAAATTATAAGATATTCATTTAAACCTTTGACATTTTTCAAAACTATAGAATTCAAGGCAAATGTCCACGCGAGTAGACTTTGTTTCCTCCTCTTGGATATCATAATTCTGATAATTTCTGCTGTATACCAACCCAGAAAAAAATCCAAGTAGTGTCATTTGGGCTGTTTTTTATTTCTAAAGCAATATTTCAAAGTTGTTTTATTTCAAAGTGCTAACAAACTCCATGGTTTCGCTTGGCAGAGTTTCTATGTGCATACTTACCGCTATCAACCAACCAGTAAGTCCCACTTTTTTCATAGTAGCCATTACGACAGCATGCGATTATTATAACTTGTTGTCGATATTAACCACAAATTATACTGTATTGGGTAATTCCCGTAACCGAAACAGCGCCGCCTGTGATGTGTGATAATCGTTCTTAGAACGAGCGAGGCGGATGAGCCCACTTGGGCGGGAACCAGCCCCGGAACCAGACAAACTCGGTGTTATGCGACAAACCTCCCGGGCATGTGTGATGCGCATGCGCAAATCAACGTCGCACCTCAGTAAGCGATATTAGTTCCGGTATGATATACATGTACTAGTACTTTCCGATGTTCCACTAAGAACAATGCTTGTCGAGAACCCTTGCACAACGCATTAAATAATGAGTGAATAATATTGCATACTTATCATTGTAAAAGTCGGAATATTTCTTGGAACTATCGTGTTAACTTATAATTGGGAACACCAAACGTAAATGGCGCATTAAATAAATGTACATAGTGATGCGTGCATGTCATTGTACATTTGTAAAAGTCGGGAAATTTAGAACATCGTGTTAACTTCGAACGTAAAATGACACATAATAAAATAAACATAACAATATGTACATGATCAAAAGTCATTTTGGTCAAAAATGTTATTTTCGACGACTTTTTGAAAACTATCAGCTCCAATTGATTTGATACTTGACATGTAGGTGTCTTGGGTTAAAGCGCGGTGGTCGTCGCGCGGCGCGTGTTCGAATTTCATGTAAATAAACAATGTATTTTACACGCGTTGTATACACTGCCGTCGCTGTGAGTCCCATATCGAACAGGACGCGGCGTGTCGCCCATTAATTATTGTCACTTTCAGATATTTTCATTCTATGACGATATCAACTATTTTCTATTTTTAGCAATTACTTTTTCATGTTTGATATTCTTGAGATGTTTGTAGAGTCAATAGAAGGGAACTAGAATAGAAACAAAAGTTAAATTACAAAATAAATGTACAATATTATGTACAGTATTATGTACAATATATAAGCGTATAAAGCATTTTCCACATTAAATTTCGCAATTTGTACGCAATTTTGATTCTTAAACACAAATTATATTACAAAAATTGCAAAAATTGCTATATCTGTAAAGTGAAAAAAAACTATTTTTTACTGTAAATGGAACATTTTATTCCCTGTAAAAACATAAAATGCCTTTTTTATTTCCTGTAACCTGTAACAAGATATCCCCCTTGCCCCTCTAAATGAAGGCATGCAGAGCTGAACTAGTCACGGTGAATGTCCATTTACTTACTCATAGACATTCAGGAAAATCCTATTGCATAGGGGTGTCGTATATTTAATTTTTATTTTATTTTTCATTTCATATTTTTCTTTTCAACATTTTAATGAATTGTTTCAGAATAAGCAGAGATGGACATAACCAACCCCAAAACCACCCTTAAAAAACAGAATCTTGAAATAATAATGCGAACACAAAGTTGAAAACGACTCAGAAAAACATCTCTACATGTAATGTCTTTGGTACCGGAAGAGATGACAGAAAATATTATTATAATATCAGTATTCAGATTTCAGGACTCGGAGAATTAAAAAGTGATATTCAGATACTTAAATATATTATGAGTTTTAGAGAAGACATAATAATAAATCAAGCTTATTATGCTCATTATAGTTTATATGTATACAATATACAAATTACATATGTTTACGCACGTGTTCTTTATAATGTCAGACATTTTAAAATCGGAGCAACATAAAATAACTTGTAAAATGTACTTTATTTCGGTAACAGAATGGGTAATCAACGAGTATCGTCAAGGTTCTTCTTTGTCTCTAACTCCAATAATAATTGAAAAGATATGGATATATTCGAACGCAATTAATCCAACCACGGTCACCGTGACCCATCCACATCATGTCATGGTGTGGACTGCTGATACTTTCTTTATTGGAGCCAGTTTGCG